ATTGCCACAGTGCTTGTCAAAGCCAGTTCTGATTAATCTCCTTTGTCAGTGTGTCCTTTGCCATTCCCTATCACTCCTCCCTTTTTTTTTAAATGAAAAGGTCTTTTAACCAATTCTTTGTCATGTTTTTAACATGGAAGAAACATGTACTCTTAATCAATTCCTAGCCTTGAAATGTATTTTCCAGGCCCCTTGTGGCGCTGTTCTCAGGATGGTTGAGGGCTGCTTGTTGCTGAGCTGCAGGTCATGTTGTGTTTATAATGTGGTCTGTACCAAACCCCTGCTGAGCATATCTTTATTCCTTATTCTTCATGGAGTCTGTATTTATAACCACAAAATCAGTCTGCATGGTCCCTGCATAAGCAAGCAAGCATGCTGGGACATGCAGGAGCAGTGAAAACATTGGAGTTAGGCAGCATGTAAGCTCCCGCTTGAGCTTAAACAATGCCACAAACACTGCCTTCTCATTTCAGACCTCATACTATCGACAAGCGCCCTTTGTGTGCTTCATATAATAAGTTTTCTGCATTTTTGGTTGGTCGTTTCACTATTTAAATGTCCTCCAATCATAGTGGTAGAGTACTATTTGGTATTTCTAAGTAGAAGTGTAACATGCTTATAGGGTAAATATGTACCTTTAGACAGGCTTCATCCAAGCTTGAGTAATACAGCTGTTGTCCATGAGGCCAATGTTAATGAATGATAAGGTGTCTTAGAAAAACACATATGACAAGTTTACACATTGGTCAGTTGATGAAAAGGTTGTAACCAGAGCCTACCAGAAACCTAACACTGTACTTCATAAACACCTTTATATAACACAATTACTGTATTTTTAACTATTATCTTCCTGGTTCTAAACTCTGTGGGTGGTGATATAAGGTCATACACATCCCTTAAGAGCAGCTGGTTGTTATGTCACTTGTGGGCATCTGAATGGTATCAGGTATCTCTGGTCAAAATACCTGTTCACTCTTGCAGCCCTTAGAGAACTCAGGTGGCCTAGTGGCAAGAAATTGTACTGTAATCCCAAAGGCATGCAGTTCAAGGCCACCAGCTGCTCCACCAGAGAAGGATGGGTAGTCTCCTCCTGTGCAGTTAACTGCCTCTGAAAACCCACCAGAGGATCAACAATGGGTCAGATCTGACTCCACAGTACACAATATTATAGCCCTTAGTGGTTCACAAAGTCTTTTGCTAGATTAATTGAGGTAAACAAATAAATAAAGGTAAGGTAAATAGCTTCTTGTGCCACATTTTGCCTTAAATGGTAGAGGTGGGTTTTGTTCCTTCTCTGTCTCCCCACATCCTTCTTGTTTCACTACAGAACTCCTTTCCTCCTGACCTAAAATTGAAAAACCTCCTTGTTATTGAGTCCATAGCTAACCCTTTGGGTCGGAGTAGAACCGCCCTTCAGGGTTTTCAGGATTGTAATCCTTATGGAGGAAGAGAACTCTTGTGCTGCCAACTCAGAGGCAGGTGGCTCAGATCCACAAGCCAGAGAAATATGGGCAATCTCCTTTAGTGCAACTAATTGACAGCTTCTGAAAGCCCGCTGGAGTTGGCTCCAACCCAAAGGTACACAACAACAGTTTTTAAGGAAACAAATTGTCACATCTTTCTCCCATAGAATGATTGGTGGCTTTGAACCACCAACTTTTCAGTTTGTGGCCAAGCGTGTTATCTACTGAGCCACTCAGGCACCCCTAGGACTACATAGTAACTGAAATCTGACATTTGCATTGTTTCCTTTAACCCACAGTGGTACAAGATGAAATAAATCTTGTTTTCCTACTTTCTGTTGATTTTTCTAATGTAGGTGTAAAAGCTACTTTTGCGGATCCTTCTGATTAGGTTAGAGGGCATGTGGTCCTGTCAGCTTCAAATTGCCGTGTGTCTCTGTGTATAACACTGCCTGAAGCAACACTGTCCTGAGCCTTCTTTCTGTGGGTAACCCCGTTGTTACAGTCACAGCAGAGAGAGATGATGACATTCTTTCCTAATTACTGAGAGCTTGTCTTGTGGTACTTTGGTCATCAGGAGGGAAACCAGACTGACTGCTGATATCTGCTAAAAATTAATGGTACTGAACTTTTTGTTTTCCACAGAATCATGTGAACCCAGCAATGGACTTTACACAGACCCCACCTGGAATGCTGGCCCTGGACAACATGCTCTACTTTGCTAAGCACCACCAGGACGCCTACATCCGGGTAAGCACCCAGGCCCCTGGCCGAGCAGATGCATTCTCAATGGAAGTTTAGTCTCAAATACAGATAAGTGCTTGTGTACGGGAATATAAATATAAAAACATACGGAACAAAATGGCCTAAGATTTTGGCTTTTATAAGTTGTTGCTGTTGTTAAGTGCTGTCGAGTCGCAGGCGACTCATAGCGACCCTATGAAGGAGAGTCCTCGACACTTGGGTGCCTTTCATCCTCTCTCCAGGTTCATAGGGTTTCCAGAGGCAAGCTATTACAGAAGTGGACGCCACTCCTCCTTCCAAGCTTGTTTTAACCAGGGAGCTCCACCCCACTCTCTGTCCGCATTGGGTAGCGAAACATGCATTTGACACATCAGTGTCACCAGGAAGGGATGGAACTTTAACTTTTTCCATTGTAATAGATTATAGAAAAGGGTTTTGTGTAGTTTGATGTTGAATTACAGTAAGAACTTTTAAATTTGAAAAACAAGAAATATAAGTGAATTTCTACCTATAAATGAAAATACCTGTTTGCCATCAATCTTAGTGGAGATCCTTTTGCTCATGCCGGAGTACAATAGGATAAAAAGAAAAATAAAGATGAGGAATAGAGAGAAAAATGCCTATTCACGTTTCGTTGCTATAACTGTTAAGTGCCACTGAGTCAATTCACCTCATAATGACCCAGTGTGACAGAGAATCAGGATTTTCCTTATAGTGTTTCTACACTGTAAATCCTTACCAAAGAGGCCCAGTGGTTCTGTAAGTAAAGTATTTGGCAGCTAAGCCAAAGGTGAAGGTTTCAAGTCCACTGACTGCTTGCTGGAAGAAAGATGAGGCAGTATGCTTCTGTAAAAATTGACAGTTTTGAAAACACCGTGGCCTACTCTGCTCTGTCCTCTTGGCGCTCTCTACACCAGAATTAACTCAGTCTTATCACCAGGCCTTTTGCTCTCACATCACTGTTGTGTGTTTTCAAACTGCCAGCATTTCATTGAGTGGCAGAGTACGTAGCTGCTGAAATACAAGGAGAGACATGTGAAAATTTTGGAGCACTGGTGGCAGTGTCCATAGTATGTAGTCCAGAAAACATAAAAGCTAAGCGTTTCTGGCATTTTCAATCCAAGTTGTTAAGAATTAAAACTGTTGATGGCAGTGAGTTTGTTTGAGGTTAGACTGGTTTGTGAATGGAGCACCTGGAAGCATAGCTTCTGGGTGGTTTGTTTTTTTTTTCTGTGAACAAGAAGATGCTGTTAGCTGATTGGTCCATGCAGGTGAGAGAGAGGCTGTGTTTGAGCCCAAAGGGAATCTAGATTGTGGAAGTATGAGATGCCTCTAAGACTGAGAGGAAGAAAGGTATGGGTATATGGGTAAAGGGAATTTAAGAAGGATGGCCTGCTAAGTAGTTAAAATACCTCCAAAAGCTTAGAAAATACTTGACGAAAGAATTGCCTAAAGCAGCCAGTGTGGCCAAAGTTAAAATGAGAGTGCTGCCAGCTATTTGGATATTTTCTGCTGGTCCCCATTTAGTGACCTGACTTGCAAATTTAAGTCCTGCTGCTGCCATTATTTGATGCTATAAATATGGGCAATGGCAGTTTCTTTGGTCAGGGATTAATTTTTCCCTCCTGAAAAATAGGGGAGAGTTGAAGTTTCTCAGTCTGCTGGGACGGTATCTACCTGAGGGTAGGCAGGCTTCTGGAAAGAGGGAGGCTGGATGTTTGGGTTGCTGCCATGCCTATTGAGGTGCAGCTGTTGAAACCTCTCATGCATAGAGCAGTTGTTCACAGTGAGAAATTGAGGAATTGCCCCACCTTGCAGCAGTCGCCTTGAAACCTCTAATGCATGGAGCAGTTGTTCACAGTGAAGAATTGCCCCTCCCTGCAGCAGCTACCTTGAAAAATGCGCCAGGCTCCTGAGTCCCCTATAGGTGCTATATTTTAAAATTATATGTCTTTATATGTGTGCAATTTAGGAAGCTTCAACCTCTTCTGAATTATTCTTTGTAATTTCATTATATAAAGAATTAAATGGTCATTTTTATGAAAGATTTGGAATCAGGTTGTTGGCCAGAAATAAGTCTTTGATAAGAAAATTATTTTTCCTTCAAAGTTTTACTTGACTCTTATATGTACACATTTCTTTCATAGTGCTTTTTCTAAGAATGTAATCAGCTCCTATAATAAGAAAATTAATAGTTGTGAGATACTTTGTAGTATCACCTTAGAGACTTAAAGGTGAAAACTAGAAATTGAATTTCACACTGATTAATGTTTGTGGATGAATGTTTCTAAAATTAGAGTCTATTGGTGTTGAATATATTGTAAATTGCTTAAGAAGCATGTTTCTCATGAAAACTAATTTGGTGTTTTGAGAGCATTTTCCTCAGTGTGTTCTCTAAACTGTTATAAGTGAAATTAATACCATGGCAACTGATGAGTTGTTTTCCTTTTTTAAATTTTTTTTTAAAAGTACTCATCAGGCATAAAGTTCTATTTGTAAAGAAAAAGGTGACCTTTTTGTCCATATTCACTTTCCTTTGTTGGTTAAACATTCCAGTGATTCAGATTACCTTATTTCCTCAAAAGTGTTCCTTCCCTGTTTTATGAGTCAGATCTGATTTGGGGGCAGGTATTCATGAATGTGTGGGGTTAGTGGTTTGTGTCGACAGGGAAAAAAGTTTTGAGGTGACAGAGAGCATACTTGCATACCAAAGACAGACTGCAGTCATCCTAGACCATGATATCATCCTTGAGCCTCAGATATGAGCCAGATGTTGTCTTCTGAAGCAGAAATGGATTCTTTTTTTTTTTTAAATCACTCTTTGATAAAGCTTGCTGCTTTTGACTAGGTAAATCTCCTATCTCAATGCAATTATTCATTCATTGTTTATGTCTCTCATTCAATAAATGGTTATTCTGTTCTTGAATAGAACCTTTAGTATTTATTCAATTTGAAAGTCCCAATTTATGTGAGATTTTAAAAAGAACTGCAGCATACACGTACAAATATTGTGTCTTTGCCCCTGACACCTCTCACCTCTACTCCCACCTGCTGTCTTCCCTTTACTACTTTATCGCTATAGCCTCACATATTATTTCCAAGCCCTGTCTTTTAACCCTGTTACTATTCACATTTCAACTCCCTGTAACAAGGATGCTATCTATTTGCTTTCTAAAAACTGAAAGCCTGCCAATTATAGTTGTTGTTGTTGTGGTTGTTGTTGTTGTTATGTGCCGTCGAGTTGTTTGCGACTCATAGCGACCCTATGTACAACAGTCCTAAACCCTGCTCTATACTGTGCCAATTGCATTGCCTCTGACACACCCATCCTGATTACCCCAGTCATGGAATCAATCCACCTCATAGAGGGTCTTCCCCTCCTGTGCTGTCCCTCTACCCTACCAAGCATGATGTCCCTCTTCAAGGACCTGTCCCTCCTTGCAACATGTCCAAAGT